AGCTGCTTTCTACTGAGCCAAGAAAATGAGCTAATATATCCGGTCAATCTGGCCATTGTGAAGGTCAACTTGTGCTCTCATTTCCTGTCTCAGTGCTTGCAAAAAAAATAATAATAAAATTGCTTTGTGCTTTTCATTGCCGGGCAGGGAGGTCTGTTAATCTAATGAAYTTATGCAGCACGACTAAGTGCCGTGTCCATATGGACAATGTCGTCTAAAGAAAGATATCTAAAGGGTCACTAATAAGGCCAATGTGTGTCTGTCCACAATTTGACGAGGGTGAAGTTTGCGTCAAGTTTTAGGGGGAAATTGTGAGTCGTGGTGAGCGTAGTCTGGAGGCAACGTATCAAATATTTATCAGGGTTACTTAGATTTCTTGAAAAACTTGCGATAAATAAAACATTCGTTTTCACAGCTGCCTGAAATTCTCAAGCAAAGTTTCTGAATGCTCATAATGTCTGTAAATGTAATAAACTATTAATCACAGATCTTTGAGGCAAAAAAACCTCAGCACATTTGATGAATATTAAAATAAAGAAAATCACTGGCTAAAGAAAACAACATGTGTGCTGTGTGTTACAATCAGACGTAATTTCTGAGTTTATTTATTTTTTGAAAAATCCAGACAGTGGAATCTGATAAGCTGTTTGAGAGGTCGCTACAGCCTTTTCTGCTGCCCGATGTTGCAAAACGTCCAGACGAACCTCAGACCCAGTGGAGTTTCTTTCAACCGTTCCTTGTTCCTGTTCAGAAAGATGTACCTGAAGACCTCAAAGGTTTATTGTGACAACGTCTGTTCTCCGTCTGATTTGTTAAACCTCATCATTTATTAATGAAAGAGGATGAAAATATAGATAATGCTGCCCTCCAGTCAGCTGCTACAGCTTTAAAACCTATATGTGTACATTTATGAGAACTAGTGCCTCTTTTCACGCAAATAAAACACCAGTGATGGCAGCAAATAAAAAATAAACTTCATTTTAACTTCTATGTTCTGGTTAAACAGATAAAACAATTAAGAGGTTGTCCCTGGAGCAACACTCTGTGGTCTGTCTGCACTTCCTTGTTATAGATGTCACGTCAGCTTTTTGGGGAGGGGGGGCATAAAAGCGCTTATTAATAATTTACAATTTCATCTTGTTGTGTTATGTACAGTAGGGGCAGGTTTATTTGAAGAAATATGAAAATGCACCCCCAAGGCAAGATAATGGTTCTTTATGTACTGGTGAGCTCAAAACAAATCTGGCTTCGTGACTCAGAAGCTRCGAGAAGGGACTAATGCACACAAATTACAGCTGCTTCTTCAACCGTGCCTCGTTATTCCCAGTAACTGCTTGAGCCMAACATCAAAATCCTGTCAGCAAGCAGGTTTTAATGCGTACATGTTTGCWAAACTTGTTCCGTATGAAGTTCCAGACGAAAGCAGTCGCTCAAAGATGAAGGGAAACAAATCAAATAAAAAAGAGCTTTTTTTATTTATTGGCTCAGTGGCCACTGAAGTGTGGGAGCAATTTCAATACAATACCCAGGCTTGGATAAGACTTCTATTTTTTTTCCTTAGGTGGAATCCTTAAAAACAGACCAACATGTGCATCTTTGTGTTTGTTTGCACAAGTGTTAGTGTGTGTGTGTGTGTGTGTGTCTTTCTCGGAGGAAGGGTGTTTCAAGGTTTGGACAAACGCAAGATTGTCACGCTCATAAAAGAGAGGGGCTCTGTCAAGGAGCCTGCCAGCTAAAGGCTTAAATCACATGCCTGGAATACACAATGACTTTACACCCACACACACACAGACACACACACACAGACACACACACACACAATCTCCCCAAATTATGCAGAGTAAGACCATCCCTCGAAGCATTCAGTCTCAACATCTGCTTTAGCTAAAAAGTTGGCATGCATATTCTCAACCTAAACAGATAAAAAAGAGGGAGAAATCCCCTATAAGGTAAACACCCTGCTTAACTGATCACAGCCACACTTCTGAGCCCCCCCTCCCAAACAATCCCTCTTTTCATTAAATAAGACTGTGTTCATCAATCAGTTTCAGAAAAAATACAAAATCTAAGTTTATTCTAAGTTGTTATGATGCTTCCTCTGATTTATATGTGACACTCAGAGAACTGTAAATATTACAGATTCAGTGTCATTTTGAATTCTGTGACTGTCAATCAAAACCGTTGAATTAAAATACTGTCAGACAGGCTGTTCCAGAAAATCACTCTACATTTTATGTTCTCACGTCTAACAGTTTACATTAAAGAGTATTTTTTTTCCCCCTAACAAAATGACAAGTGACAATGTCAGTCCAGCACAGACCGGAGCCCCTTTTTGCTGCCAGTCTCCTGTGAATGTCACCCCACACAAGGCAGAATGGCGCCACCTAAAGGCAGATTTTATAGCCTTTTGACACCCCTTTTTGTCACTGAACCACTTTTACCTTTGCAGCAAAGGCATTCTCCCCTAAAGTGAATACTGTTTAAAATAACTTGGTYTCATCTACACAATGTAGGAATTTGTAAAACTTACATAATATTTCAGAATTAGGCTCGGGTAAAATTTAAGGRAACCTGAAGGTCAGATGTTGATGTGATGTAAGAAGGGGGATTTATAAACCAAGCAGCAAAGACAGTTAAGCCATGTTAGGCACAAGTTAAGGTAAAAATAACAAGTTTATTTTCATTCTGAAAAACTGATTGGCTTGAATATTGATTCCTCAGAGTAATTCCCTTCAATGCTTTAAGCAAAATCAAGCTTCATTACATATCATTCATCTCCTCATCACAGGAGTAATGACACTAAGCTCTCTCTCTCTCTCAGGGTCCTGGCATGGTGGTGGCAATGATAAGGCCTGCACAACTCTGCTGATTTGTTTATATCACTACCCTCTCCAAGCTAAAGACCCAGCTCAGCCAATCTTCCTTTGCACCGCTATAAAACATCATTAGGGGAAAGCAGCTGGACAGAGAGAAAGACTACAAGTTGCAGACAGCTACAGTTGCTCCACAATGCACAGACCAAGACAGCAGCACAAAGGTGCCCTTGTGAAACCGACTGAGCAAACTGAGCTGGCGATATGCTCTCCCACTTTATCCGTCTATTTATTTATTTTTCCGATTTAGCCTCAGCTCTGTGGCAACTGTAGTGACAGATGGGCTGAGAGGCTTTGGGATCGATGGAAGYGGGAATTTTGTCTTTGTTTCCTGACATTTTTCCCCATACACACTCTCCTGACTCGGGTTACTTACTGTCCACGCGGATGGGGAGAATAGGATAGAGTYGGGAGGAGGGAGGAAAGTGATATGTTTCTGTACAGCTTCTGAAGAAACTTAATGCCTCYGGCCAGCTCCCTCAACACAGGTTCCTATTGAATAATACAATAAAGCAGCCATGCACGCTTGATGCTTTGAGGGGGACCCTCTGTAAATAAGACATTATGGAAGGCGTGGATACTACTTGTTTTGTTTGTCTTAACAGGGAAAAGACATAAAATTATTGATGCTCATAAACTGGTGTGTGAAAACCTAACAGAATCCAATACACCTTCATGATATCAGCAGAAAAACTGCCAACAATTACTCTGTCTTTCTTATTAGGGGCTTTTAACGGTCTTTGTGCTGACCCCTGCCCCATGCAGCTGGTTCATAATAGAAGCAAGCCAAAGAAATAAAGGAAAACAACAAAGGTTTGCCTTCCTCCCTGATGGGAATCCATCACATCTTATCACAATCATCATCACATGAACCGCCAATGAATCTAATAAGAAACAAAAAGATGATTTACCCTTGGCGTGAATAAAGTTCATCAAGGTGAAACTGGAAAAAGTTACATTCAAAATTGGACCTGATTACTATTTTTTTATGGTAGCTTTAGATTATATTTGTTGTGAATTGGTTCTATGTAATAACACTGAATCGATTTTAACTGAACAGGAAAAGGTCATAATTGGAACGTAACAATAATAAAAGTCACTCGCTGTCTTTATTATTTCTATAAAATTAAATTGGGAACATTAAAAGTTGTGCCATCTCAAGGCCCTTTTACATGTTAAGGTCACAGCTTTACAGAGTCATCAAAGGAAATTGATAATTTAATTTTCAGTAAGCACCTGGTGACCATGAAGGGAAAAAAATCCATTTTAATAAGAAACAGGATGAGCTTCGAATGGAACAGGAGGAAAAACAACAGAACAATAGTTAACGCTGCCCTGACTGTCCATTATCGTTAGTGTTATYTGGCACTGTCTTAAGCAGAGTTTAATCCTTGTCTGCCACGACAGACTTTTAATGGGCTTAAGGCCAAAGACTCAGAGAAGTTATCACGTTAGAGGCTTATGCACCCGAGTACTTTGCACAAAGACGTATAAAGTACCCGTGAAAATAAGTACAATCTCCTAATCTCTAGGAATTAAAATGAAGAAAAAAAKCCCCTCAAAGGTGTAGAATTGATGGCACACTAAATACACAGCAGTCATTGCTTTCATTTAGGGTTAGTTTTATAAGGAACTGTTGATTTCACTTTATTTATATTACAGCTCCTATAATTAAATATAAAATACAACTGAATGCAAAATTTCTCTCAAAAAGTTGGGCAAAATAAAACAGTTTTAGTCTCAAACAGAGCATCTGCTAATWAATCAACAACAGGGTGACATCCTCTTTTCACTACGTTGGAATGACAGTTGAGCAAAGAAAATAATGCTGCAAAGAAACTGAGCTGAAAAATCTGTTGTTACATATTTAAGGCACAAAAGATGTGTATCATTGGCTCTGTTCTACGAGAACACCAGAATGGCTGCCTAATCCTTGTAATGCTCACCCCCTCCCCTACTCCGTCTTCTCTCAGRGTTTCTGGGTCGCTTTGCCATCGTCTGTCCTTGTCATCTTTTCCTTTCGTTTTACAAAACAAGGGGCAAATGCTGATGTGGAAGATGGGAGCTTTGTGAGGGTGGTGATGGAAAAAACTGGTGTGGTGGAAAAAGAAAAGCAATTTCTCTTACCTGTATGATGGACATGCGGTTAGTAGGTGTGTCTGTAGTGCTGGTGACTGGGCCTGTGAAGCTGGTGTGGCATCCCACGTGGCTTTGGGGCACGCTGAGGTTATTGGCAGTGGGCTTGAGGTACATGACCTCTGACCTTGGTGAGCTTAGTGGCAGGCGTGTCTGATAGTCAAAGTACATGGGAGAGGTGGCCAGTGAGGGGCTGCTTACCACATTCATCACATTCATGGCATCCCGCTCCTCCACTTCGCTCTGCACCAGCATGATGTCGTTCTTGTTAATCTTCTTCTTCTTGCCTTTCCCCAGCTGAGGGTGCGAGTACTCTGCAATGCGACAATTATAAGTTCGGATCTCCTTGTTTTCCCGCTTGCACTTAATCGCTATGGTCACCATGGCAGCCAGAAGCATGATAGATATGATGCTTAGAGTCACAATAAGAGGCAGKGACATGTCCCAGTTCTGATTGTCTTTCATGTGTGGGAGTCCATCAGGAGGACGCCCGTTRGAGGCCTTGATGATGAGGCGGGCGGCGGCGGTTAGAGTTGGCTTGCCATGGTCAGAAACACGAATGATCAGCTCCACAATGGGACTTACATCATCCCAYACTGGGTGGGCTGTTCTGACTTCCCCAGTTACCGAATCAATCTCAAAGAGATGCTCCTCGTTTCCGTCAGAWATCTCATAGGTGAGCCTCCCACTCTCACCATAGTCGTTATCCACCGCCCTCACAGTGGTGACGATGTAGCCGACACCAACATTCCGTGGAACGTGGATTTCAGCGGTGTCGTTCTGGAGAAGCGGTAAAACTATGACCGGGATGTTGTCGTTGACATCCAGAACACTAATGCGCACTGTGGRGTTGCTCTCCAGGTGTGGAGATCCTGCATCTTTAGCAAGGACTTTGAAGTCAAAATACTTTATTTGTTCGTAGTTGAATGATCTGACTGCATAAATGGCCCCATTAGCTGCATTTACATTAACATATGTGTTGACATCACCCCCACTCACATTGGAGTTGATTATGCTGTAGTATACTGTGCCGTTCTGGCCAAGATCTGGGTCATGTGCCAAAACTGAGCCAAGGTATTCCCCAGGGATGTTGTTCTCGGGAATCTGAAGAAGGTAGACAGCCTTAGTGAAGCGAGGAATGTTGTCGTTCTCATCAAGAATCTTGACTGTGAAAGATTTTGTGGAGTTCAGAGGAGGAAGTCCATTGTCTTTAGCTACAATGGTGACATTGTACTCATCCGTAGCCTCTCTGTCCAGGGGCCTATCTGTCACCACTGTGTAGAAGTTATCATAGTTCTCCTCAAGTTTAAAAGGGACATTACCCAGCACTCTGCATTGAAGCTGCCCATTCCTGCCTGAGTCCTTGTCGGTGACACGAACCAGAGCAATGACAGTGCCTGGGGGTGCTGCTTCACTGATGGCTCCCTGTCTCACAGACACAAAGCCTATAGATGGCCAGTTATCATTCCTGTCAAGCACTTTCACAGTGACTTTACAATGGCCTGGGATTGGATTGGGACCTAGATCCTTAGCCTGGACGTCAATCTCAATAACTGGGCTCTCTTCATAGTCAATTTCACCCTGAATCTTTATCACCCCTGTTCTTGAGTCTATAGAGAACAGCTCCCGGATTCTCTCTGGGGCATAACCACTGAAGGAGTAGACCACCTGACCATTGTTTCCTTCATCAGGATCTGTGGCATTTAAATCAATCAAGACTTTTCCAGGAGGAGAATTTTCAGGGATTTCTACGACATATGATGGCTGATCAAACACTGGGCTGTTGTCATTGGAATCAATAACTTTAACGTTTATCTGCATAGTCCCTGATCTAGGATATTCTCCACCATCGGTGGCCGACAAAATAAGAGTGTGATGGCTTCGTTCTTCTCGGTCCAGTGGCCGTTGAATAACTAATTCTGGGAATTTGGTCCCATCCCCTCTGGATTTTACCTCCAAGGAAAACAGATTGTAGTCATCGCGGGTTATTTGATAGGTTTTCAGGCCATTTTCCCCTGCATCAGGGTCATGTGCACTGGTCAAGGGAAAACGTGTCCCTGGCACTGCATTTTCAGAAATGTCAATATCAATCTGATCTGAAGGAAAAATAGGCGAGTTGTCGTTAATGTCCTGAATGTCTATTTTTATCATGCATATCTCCTTGTCATTGGCAAACACCTCCATGGAGAGCTGGCACTTGGGGCTTCTCTTACACAATGTTTCCCTGTCGATGCGCTGCTTTGTGTACAGAAGTCCGCTTTGAGGGTCCACGTCGATGAGATGCGGGGCCGAGTTCTCCAGCACTCTGAAGTTGGCTTTCTTTCCCTGTCCTCCCTGCCCAATTTGTTCGAGTCCAAGCTTGGCATCTTTGGCTATGTTCCCAATCACCGTTCCTGGACCCTGCTCCTCCGGGACAGAGTAATTCAAGTTTTTCAATGTCAGGGCTTGAGCCCACAAGAGGAGGAAAAAGAAAATAGAAAGATGCATCTCCTCTCACTGAAAGCTGCTCAAATCTGTGCAGTGGTTCCTCTTTCTATGACCTGTTGATATTTTGATCGGATTTGGTATTTTTGTTATTACGGATCAAATTAGAAGTCCTGTTCATCATGTGTTGCATCGACATTTGTCTTTTGCAGATTGTCTTTGCTGTGTTGCTTTCTTCCTCTCCAAGCAATCTGTGGTAGTGAAAGTCTAATTTATATTCAGCTGAGCACCCAGACTCATCTGAACAATAATCGAGATCCAGACTCCAAACAGAATAGTCATTGCAAGTGTTCACTCATACACCTAAAAAGAGGGGGAGAAGAGGGAAGGGAGGAAATGCAAATGTTATATATAAATCAATTAGTGAATCGAGTAAAAAAAAAAAAAAAAGGACTCGAGCTACCCTGCCAGAAGGAAATCAGATTCAGTGCCAAGCCAAAAATGAAATGCGGCTCATGTGTAATTCATCTGCACAATTATGAGGAAAGCTTGTCAATTAGTTAACCTTGGAAAGACAGATACACGGGCAAACAATGATTCTCCCAGCAGCTTCCTGAGCCCAGAAATACAGGATTCTGAGCGCAGGTTTTATTCTGTCTCTGGTGTGTGGGCTGCACTAACCTGACCCTATAGAGAGATCATGTCCCATACACATGTTAAAGACAGAAACTGTAACAGGGCAACTTTATTAAGCGACTATTGTGGCGACTGTTTGAATAAGTGAGAATAAAAAAATGAGCCTCTTACACGCATTAACAAATCACATAATCCGGATATTTCAAATGAGCCTTGTGAAAAACTCAGAAATGAGCTGCCAACCTRTCAGCACAGCCGTGTAATTCTCTCTGCTGCTGCTGCTCTCCTATAAAAGCCTGCCTGGAAGAAGCTGTTGCATCCGCGGCAGGAGAAATAACGCGCAACAGACGGAGCTGCAGGTGGACCGTTTCAAAACAGGAAAGAATAAACGTGATTATCTTACCAAGAGAAACTGCTCCATTAGTTGGAAGAAAAAAAAAACAGACAAGTGTCAAATCAGAATTGTCATTTCCATTCTGGTTTCAGGGAGTTTTATTTCTCACTGTAGGTTCCACCCGTATCCCCCTTCTCCTCCGACGCACACGCGCTCTACAGCGCAGCGCAGCGAGGGGAAAAAAGTGCTCCAAAGTCTGACTGTAATGTCAATGAGCTGAAGTCCTCTCCGCTGTCTGATTAGGATGCAGCGGCTCGCCTCCTGCCTGCAGTGACTCACTGCTCCTCACSGATGGAAAACTGTTAGAATTAAAGAAAAAAAAATCCAATATGAGAAGAGGTGTATCCAAAGTGGATGTTTTTAAAAAAGGGATGATCAGGGTTTGTTGTCCCTTCTTCTGAGACAGGACAGGGTGAGTGATTTCCGCTGTGGCATTTTGTCCTTGTGCGTCCCTCCCAGTCAGAGTCCAAACAGAGACAGACAGCTGCCGTGAAGGTGATCAGCAACAACGCCGCATTCTGGAACAAGTCTCCCTGTTGCTGTCAGGAACAAGAAAAAAATAAATAAAATAAAATGTTGTTTTTTTTCACCACCCCTGACTACTCAAGCAAAGTCATCAGTTACTAGTTCCAGCACGTAGCGCAGCCCTGAGCAGCCGGAGCGCCTCCTCTCACTGCCTGGACTCCGGACACCGCATGGCGCATTAAACATTGTCGCTGCTCCTCTGGCAGCCAATGGGTTTGAAGAGGTGGGGAGAGGAGGAGGGGTCCGGGAAGCCGCTGTGGGTGCAGACTACAAATGATTGGTGGGTCCGAGCTCACCGGTGGAGGAGCTGGCTTTTTTCAAAAATCCCACTTCATTGTTGTTCGGGCTGGGAGGAAAGGAAACGGTGCGTTGGAGRGGRTCGGTCACCAACGGATGTGCTGGGGCCAACGGGCTGCTTTCAAAAGGCCAGTTAACTGAAAGTAAGAGCCCCACCTCTTAGTTCGTTTAAAGGCCTGTTTAAATCAAAATACATTTGAATCCAGAGTGAATTAAAGGCGTTTCTTGTCAGTTATATCATTAAGAAGTGGCAGTTGCAGTGGTCAGGGTTAAACCTTAAAAACAACATTATGTGTGATCACATGTGTTTTCTGCTCAGAGAATGTGTTGGCAGGGTTGTAAAGTACTTTGTTACTGTACTTAAGTAGAAATTTTGGGTATCTGTACTTAAGTATTTTTCAGCCTTCTACTTCTTACATTTTCACACAATCATCTGTACTCTTTACTCCTTAAAAGACAAGAAGTAGAAAGTTGTTACTTTTATTTTATTTTTGCCTGTTTTCATTAAAGCTTGTTATTATAAAAAATAAATATTATCCATATAAACTGAGCCTCCTAGAGAGAGTGAATTTGTGGTTGAATGAGAAGTATAAATATATAAAACTCTGATAGCGTATTAGTTTGTACACAAACAAATCATGTCACACTCCAGCAGGACATAATCATTAAAATAAAAGGACWGTACTTAAGAAGTATTTGTATTTCATGAATTATATTATTACATTTGATCCACAGCCCTCAGATAGATTTTCATTTTGGGGAAAAGCTTTGTGCACCTTTGACATATACAAGGGTGCCCAAACCTTATCCTAAAAATGAAATGTTTCAGTGTGTATACACACACAAACAGCTAGTGCAATCTAAAATTAACATAAATTAATTATTTTAATACGACACAGTCATTTCTGCTTTTTTTTATTTTTTTTTATTTTTATTTTTTTGGAGGGAGGTCACCTCCTAATAAATGTCATTACGGAAAATCTAACGGCTCATTTTAAATCAATACTTTTACTTTTGATACTCAAGTACAAAACATATCAGATACTTTAAGACTTTTACTGAATTAATATTCTTAAAGGATACTTTAACTTTTACGTAAGTAATTTTTGGTAAGATACTTCTACTTTTACTCAAGTATCCCTTTGTGGTACTTGAGTACTTTGCTTGTTGGGAATGACTCTCAGCTACAACCACCTCGAATTTTAGGTTACTGTCTGTAAAACTGARAGAGTTAAAGGTATATGTGTGTTTGGRGATGTTGACTAGKRYTGGCAGCCGTCTTCAAAGTACTTGACTCTAAATTTGAATGAGTTGTAGATGTGCATCTTTTGACTACTTTTTGAGAGTTTTGTTAAAATCTATTTGTTTATTCACAAGATATTTTGCTAACAGACAGACAAGATTAGCCATGTTTCCATACAATTGTACCCTAATGCGAATTTAGAGCAAACTTTTAAAATGTCGTTAAAKAATAGCGAATTAGGCGTGTTTCCATCTACTGGTTTGGAGCGAATCAACCAGGCTAAGCGAAGCATTACGTCAGACATATGGCTGTAAAAACAGGAAGTAGTGGCTGCAAACARATCTCAGGACAATGGAGAGAAGACACCAAAAACACCTCAAGCAAAAGCAAAACACTTAAGAGAAATTGAGAATTTTGCTGTTTCCATCAACCTTTTCTAATGTGATACTTCAAAATGCACATAAAGATATCGAACACAGCTARAGATTTTCATTGTCAATAAAGTTCTGAATAAAAAAAAATCTGCTACAACTTGGAGTGTGTTCAGTGTAGCTCTCACACCAGCTCAGTTTCTTTAAAATTCAAGGTGTTAGAGCCACTTTTGTGTTTGCCAAAGCCAGAGGTCTATACTCAGAAAAAAATAACTAAATAAAAGTAAAATAACATGAACAGAAAATGACTTTAAAAAAAATTAATTTCACTGATGAGAAAACTACTCAAGTAAAAGTCATAAAACTGTTCACGAAAATTYGGAAAGTAATAGGAAAGTACTTTTACACACTGTAAGAAATAAACTGTTGAATTTACTGAACCAAACTGGCTCCACTAAGCCAGGAATTGAGCAATATATGTATATTATTTTCTCAGTTTACTTAACWGGGCTTAGTGGAGCCAGTTGGCATGACTTTGTTGAGTAAATTCAACACCTCATTTTTTAGAGAAGAAACATCTTCTTTCATGATGAGTTCAAACATTTAATTTTGTAACAAGTAACTAGGTGTTACATTTTAAAGTGAAGAAGTAAAAGTATCATTTTTAGCTTTAAAATGTAACAAAATAAAAGTAAAAGTAGCTATTTAAACAAATCCTCAAAACAAAAACTACTTAAGTACTGTAACGTAAATGTACTTAGTTACTATAAACCTCTGGCCAAAGCTGATTGGCCGTGGGAGCCATAGGTTCACCAAGACTGACTGAGATTTTCATCAAAATTTATCCAAAGTTTCAGGAGATGTTTTGCAAAGAAACTCCTTCAAAAAAAGAAAGAAAAACTAGAATAAAACAAATAAAAACAATATAATATTGCCAACCTCTGGTCTTTTGTTGGCAGGCAATAATGATAAAAACAGGCTTTTTCTTTGTTATTTCAAATTAGAATCTGCCTCCTCTTCCTTATATACAGCATTTATACTTGAAGCACAGAGACACAGAAATAACATGTAAAAGTCTGGAGGCAGTTTCTGGAACAATCACAAAATGGTTGTTTATAACTTTAACAGGTGAAAAAAAAATGCAAAGTAAAACTTGTGAAAAAAGGTATTTGTAGACATGATATCAGCAGTACATACAAAACATGGCTTTAGAATTGAACAGAATAACACCTGAAGAAGGTTATGTAGAGGTTTAGGTAGACTTTAACTCAAGCTGAAGTTCACACTTTCTCTTCACAGCAGGAGGTTCTCGTTTGGGAAGGTGTTCTCACAACAGAAAAGTCTCCCGAGAGGTGCAGGGGGAGAGCAGCAAGCAGGATGTGAAGGAAAATAAACCTGCTGCAGGAACCGCAGACCTGGATTTATGTTGAAAACAACAGACACAAATCCCAATTTGTCTGTTTTGATGTCCGTGTTTGTGCTGATTTTCTTAAAATTAAAGAACAAGTGGAAATCAACACAAATGTCAAAAGCAATCTGAAAAGGAACTATTAAAAGAATTCATGGCAGCTTGTTGTAAAAAAAATGCTCTGGAGGGATACGCTCTGTTTTCACACATGAACCAACTGTCATTTTCTACATTATCCTGTTGGTTCCCTGGTCAGGAAAATTCAGAGCCAAAGTAATGAATTTTTTCATTTCTCAAGTGTATTTTTCTTGTTTTAATATTAGACTTGTTCCATAGAAAAATAGACTTTTCATGATTTAGTAACTATTTTGGCAAACTTACATTAGACTCATATTGCAAGCAAATAAACGTGTTTTTTATTCATTTCTTCTTTTTTCATTAATGAAAAGAAAGTTTCTAAAAAAAAAAAAAGACCACATCTGGTGAGATGTGACTGTTGCTGCAAAGTTAAAAAAGGCCTAATGTTTCTTGAAGGAATGCGTTTTTTAAACATGGTTTTGATTTAAGATGGCTGCCACAGTCACATCTCAGTGAGATGTGACTGTGGCAGCCATCTTAAATCAAAACCATGTTAAAAAAAAAGCATTCCTTCAAGAAACGTTAAGCCTTTTTTAACTTTACTTTGCAGCAACATTTCTGAAGCCCCATTAAAGGCTGTTACTGGGTGAGAACCAAGACCTTCACACAGGCACCATTGTTTAAATATTTGCCGACGTTCATCCAAACATAACTGTGAGAGAGTTTCACTGTACTCTGTCCAGAGGTGCAGGAGATATTTTACCAACWGACAYACAGTTAACTCTWCAGCTCCTCTGATTTAAGCATAAAATCTATCAAACTGACAGAGTTCCAACCAGTTTTGTGTTTACTAAAGTTGCTTTGCTGTGGCAGCCATCTTGAATTAATGCTGGTTTTAATAAAATCTGACTTTAGTTTGTGAGATATTTTGTTGACAGAAAACAGTGACTAAAGTTTATGTATCAGCCTTGCAATAATATACTACTGAAGAAATTTATAGTTATTAGAGGTTAGTACTGATGTTAAAAGCACAACACTATATTTTTATGTTTTCCTTTTTGTAATGTTGACAATATTTAATCTATTATGTTTTGATTGATAATATATTAGTTACATGTCTGAAATATCTGTGACAACACATAATTAAACGTTGTGATAACAGTAGATGAGGGTTTTGTCTGAATGCCTGTGATTCAGCCGTAAGTCAGTAGGGGGCGAACGCAGGCATTGATGAAGATGTATAAATACATGAACTTCCTGGTTTTTCACCAGTGTGGTTTCCTGTCAGCTTGGGTGACAATAAACCTCACTCAGATCCAGAATTCTGGTGTTGTATGGTTTGATTCCCTCTACAAATCATTTTATTTAYCAATCGTGTTTTTAATATCGACTTCAGTTTATTGAACACGAATTTTCTTACACTACCTTTAAACATTCAGGCAGCACGATGGATCAGGGGTTAGCACTGTAACCTCACAGCAAGAAGGTCCTTGGTTCGATCTCTGGTTCGGACCTTCTTGTGTAGAGTCTGCATGTTCTCCTCGTGCTTGCTTGGGGTTTCTCTGGGTACTCCGGTTTCCCATAAACCCTAAAAATATGTACAACAAATTACCTTCTGGTCCAGGCCTCCCTTGAAAAAGAGAATGGGATTAGCCTGGGTAAACAATAAAATAAAAACTCAATTAAAATGCGTTTAAAAAAGAGAGTTATTATAATCTTAAGGGAATTGAGATTGTTTTTCCCCCA